TTTTTCTAGGTAAAATCTAAGCCATCAAACATGGCTTTAAGGGTGGAAATGGAATTACTTTTCCATTTTTCATGGAATTCCAGCCCTATCAAATAGGGTCTTAGGAAAATATTTCGTAATTCTGAATATTCAATATTTTTTATTGGATAATGCTATACGTACTTCTCGGATGACATCATAACTGACATTCTCCTATGTGGAGAAAATCTATGTAGTGATATGATAAATGAGTTTAAAATTAAACACGTAAAAGTTGTCATGTAAAATAATGTAAAGAAAGGTCGCTATCCCAACTAAAAAATTCTTAGGACTTCCAACAGTGTAATTGGGTTTGCTCCATAAGACGTTCATAGGGAGGCAAAATATTGAACGGATTGGACGGCCACTCATTTTCGACCATCTAAAGTTCCTCTCCGAGTGATTTATCTTCTTATTTGCTAGCTAATGTTCCAGGTATAGCTTGGCCAAGATTTATCTAATTTGACTCTTCTTTATTTTGTGGTATGTATAAAAAAATGAAAAAATCTCTCAAGATCCGTGATCTTATTTTTTCAACTCTTATGATTCAAAAAATCTTGAAAAATTGGAACAACAGCTTCAAGAAGACAAATGAAAAATATGCAAAGCAAGCTGAGCTACCGTCAAATTCTAAAAATTCAGATAAACTAGTAACATCAAATTTGGTATCCTGTGAATCACCAAAATCATCCAATTGGCATAATTAAATTATTTTATCATTTTGTGCAAATTGTCTATTGTTTTGTTAAATAATTGATAAAGTACTGATTGCTTTTATCTAAAACTTGTACTGAAGTCTTATACGCTTTTAAAAAATTTGTCTAGAGATTGAAGGAGTCTCCTTCTCTATATAACGAGCCCTTCTCCTTCATTGAAGATAATTGAAAAACATAAATAAATCTTCAATTACACAAAACATGAGTTTCTAGGTTCTTACTGTTTTCTCACTGGTATCCGAAATTCTAATATTAGTTTGAATAAGTCATCAACTGCTTGAGTAGTCACATAAGTATCATATGCTATTGCTTCTTCTACATATCCTTAGCAACATAAATTATATTACAAACTACGTCGATCCAGTAGGAAGATTGTGTTCCCGAACGTCAAGCCCCAGTTCGGTGCCTTGGATTGGTTGTGTTGTCCATGGGCTAGAATACCTAGATCACAAATCTCTCCCTTGTTGCTCTAAATCAAAGACATTTTTGAAATTCTAAATGTAATAATACAAAATAGTCCTATAAATATGCATGTATCATTCACATTAAAGATGGACATAGTCCTCGTACCTATCTTTACTTTGTCTTGTCGACTGTAGCCGTCGACAATGTACAAACTTGAAGCTGATATGAATATATATATTCACTCGATGATTATCAAGGACGGCGGTAATATTTTTTTGCGTTGGGAGGTTTTTTGTTGTGTGTCGTTCAACATCCTCGGGACTTTCGCACGGTCCTTTCTTATTGCGCATTTAGCTACCAATATGTGGATAGCCCTATAAGTCCATACTTATAAAAATTAATAAATATTACACAAAAAAATTTAATAATCGTGAGGTTTTTACAATTTTACATGCACAACTAGTGAATATTCATAAGCGTTATATTTGTTTTCAGACTTCAACAACTTAATCTATGCCCTCTCTTGAAAGCATGCAACGTATCCACAAAAAACCTTCGACATGTGAATATGTATTGTATTCATCAATTCATCTACTACATACAAGAAAAAATGATCAATGTACGTATTTTGATGTTTGCCTCTTATTAGTGAACTTTTACTTATAAGTAATTTTTAGTTATGAAGTAATTTTTTGCCTATGAATACTTTTTAAGTTTTTGTATTTTTATTTACAGGTTGGTTATGAACAAAATATGTTGGTTGAATTTTTTTTTTTTTTTTTTGAAAAAATCTTCAAAACCATCAATTTAGTGGGTTGACAAATATGTCACAAATTACAATGCATTATTTTTTGATGTTTTTCAATGCTCTAAAAAACTTTCTTTTATAGTTTTACCCTTTATAAAATAATTATTTTCAACTACCTATTTTGTTTGAAACAACTTATATAAATAAAAGTACATTAACAAAAAAAGTATTTATAAGCAAAAAAAATTATTTGATGATTAAAACATTTACTCATAAGTTAAACTTTCTCGACTTTCTCTTCCCATCGTTACCTATATAAAATATCATTTATGTGTCAAAAATTTCATACAAAAAATAATAATTTTAAATTTTTAGTAAGGGACATATATGTAATTTTAATTATCAAGAAAAAAAGCCTTTTAAAATCAAAGCATAATAAGTTTCCAAATATGAATTTAACCGTTTTAAAAACTTCTATAAAAATCACTCAAAACAATCCACTCCTAATCGCTTAAAACCGACAATTTAAAAAAGCTCATTTATGAGTGTTTTTTAAATTACCGATTTTGAGTATTTATGAACTGATCGATTGTGAATAATTGTACTAGTAATTTTTAAAATTGTCAAATTTATGTTTGACAGTTTATTATCCATCGATTCTAAAAGTTTTTTTTAAAAAAACTAAAATTACATATTTGTCTCTTAATAAAAAAATTAGTTTATTGTTTCTTATATCAAATTTTTTCCTCATAAGTGATATTTTACTTATAGGTAATATTTTTACGTATAAATTAATATTTCACTTAAAAAATTAGACGAAGTTAAATATTTTACTTAAATTTTTAAATTAATATTTTCTTTTAACTAAATTTTACAATTATAAGTTAATTTTATACTTTTAAAACATTTTCAGTGAATTTTTTACTTATAAATAATTTTTTATATTTTATAAATGATTTTTTATCTTATTAGAAGTATTTTTATTTTATAAACATTTTTTAATATAAAAGTGATTTTTTACTTATAAATATTTTTTTTAATTATGTAATTTTTCTTATTTTATAAGTAATTGTTTTAAATTATAATGTCTTTTTTGTTTATAAATATTTTTTTAGTTAATATATTTATATCTACAAGTTAGTTTTGAAAATAATTATTTGATAAAAGATAAAATTGGAAGAGAATATGAAAAATAACCAAAATCTATCGATTTGAAGGGTTCAGAGAACCGATCAAAATTAAAACGATCTGAATGATTTAATTGATGATTTTTAAACCATTCAAAATTGGTGCTAAAAAAACGAACAACGTTTGTTTGGCCAATTAAAATTATAATTCATTTTTCTCTTTTTTTTTTATTAGTCACATATTTTTCAATAAAATAATATTATATGTCAGTCTAATTTTTTTTAATCACACATTATTAAAAAAAATATTATTTTAAAAAATAAAATAACAAATAATGGAGGCCAAAAGGGCATGTAAAGAAAACTCCCAAGCAGGCCTGAAGACTGGAGTTACGAGTTAAAAAAAGTCAACGACTGGTAAAATTTTCAGGGAGAGTTTAATCTGAAATTGATTCAGCAATTTCCCTAATTCTTGTTTCGCAAACCTGTAGTTTTGTCTACTCCCTCTCCACCCCAGGTAATTTGGCAATCTCTCTCTAATACGCCCCTTTCTTTCTCTTCTTTTATATTTTATATTTTATACAAGTGACAGGGAATTTCACATAGAAGCTTCCAGCTAAAGGAAATTAACTGGGAAAGGACCTATAAGTCAAAATTGGCTGATAGCAGCATACAGAAATCAAGAAATAGATATCAGCATCAGCGACAGCTTAGAGGTCTCGTTTATCGAGTTTTATTTGTTGAGTTGCTATCAATTTGCAGGAGAATATAGTGAACTGCCAAATTTGACGTGGGCTTTTGTTGAACCCTTTGTTGTTTCACTGTAAATCCACGCTGAAGATGGGATTCTTCTATATAAGTATTTATTGGTTTTGTTTTTTATTTATCCTCATTTTATTGAGATTCGTCTCTTCATGTTGTTATTAGGATTGTTTTAGTTGCTCTTTAGTCGGTTGGTTTGACTTGGGTCTTGTGTTTTCTGATCTGAATGTTTCCAAATGTTCTGTTTTTTCTGTGCAGAAATATAACACGTTTGTATAATGCTAGGTGAAAATGGATATATAGGATATTCTACATTAGTGTCACGGACTGCAACTTAGCATAGCGTCAATGTCCGTGACGACCATTGGGGACTGAGTGGAGAGCTTGGATTGCCATGAGTTTATTGTTGGCTGTAACGGCAGCAACTTAGCATGGCGTTAATTTCTGTGATGACGATTCACGTCAACTTGCTTCTTCATCAATTTCTCTTCTTTCTCATCTACCAATGCTGGGTCCTTGATATTTACTTCAATACCTTGATTTATTCACATTTTCTTGCCGATTTCACCAATGTAACTCTATTTCATGGATTTCATCCCGCAATCATAAAAATAACAACAATCGAATCTAAAAACTCGAATTATAACAAAAGATCTTACTTAGAGGTCAAGATATGCGTTAGAGTTATACTCATCAACCAAATAAAAAATAGTGACTCGTTGAGTCAAAGTGAGGCTTGCAGATTTTTGTATTCACGCGATGAATGTTGGGAGCCAATGATGATGGTATCAACATTTTTGGGGTTGATTTTAGAGAATTCTGAAATTTTTATTTAAGAATGATAATTCTTTATTGTTTTTTGATAGGTAATCACATAATTTTATAAATAAAAAACGAAAAGATAATAACAAGTAGTGCATTATCAGTTTAAACTAGATAAAAACGATAAACAATTCGGCAACCCTTCTATCGGACTAATGGTTGCAGCTTAAACCAACTATACAAAGTCAAGTAAAACAATTCTCTAAATTGCTCTTTCGTCCGCATTTGGTCTTCAAAGCATCTGCCGTTTCTTTCTCTCCACACGCACTCACACCACCTAAACTCAAAATAATTGCTGGAATTGTGCTTCACTGATTTACTCTTATTTATCAATGTCTGTTCTGCTTTGAAAACACTAAAAAGGTTTCTTACGTAGTCACTGGATGTTTTTTTCTCTTTGCAGTATAATTTCCAACTACTAGAGTTTTATCCAGTGACGTTGGGTTCTGATCTTCTCTTCCAGCAGAATAGTGAACATATATGCTTGTTTTAGTTTGAAGTATTTATCTAGGATATTGTGGAGTGTCCAGTATGGCAGATGTCAGCCCTAGGACTGATACTTCAACTGATGCTGACACCGAAGATAAGAATTTAAGGGTAATGTCCAAACTGCGTTTCCAATATATTATGCAAAAATTCTCTCTTTATTTACTTTCTTATATACTTATTATTGTGAATTGATACATAGATGATCAGGTTTTCATTTCTGTTGATTCTTATTATTGTGAATTGATACATAGGTGATCAGGTTTTCATTTCTGTTGTGCATATCTCTCCCATTACTCTAGCGTGATAAGCTTGTATTATTTGTTATTGCTTTAATATTAAATTTTAGTTTCCTGTTTACTTTCAGAACGCTCTCTCACAGGGTATGGTAGCTTCTGATGGCAGCGATAAGTCCAGGGATCAAAAGGTTTGAAATCTTACTAAATCTAGTGCACCTATATCCTTATTTCCGTGTATATGATCTTGACAACTTCTTGCAGACGCTCCGCAGACTCGCTCAAAACCGTGAAGCTGCGAGAAAAAGCCGTTTGAGAAAAAAAGTAGGTTCTTGTGTTGTGCACATTATGTACCTGTGTTTTTTAGCTTCAAATGCTGGTTACCGTTTATAAATGCATGTTGTCAGATTTACTATGGAAATCATCTGGGCATGCACTTTTAAGTTTTCATTATAATCATGGTAGAACTGCTGAACTAGGAGCTCTATCTTCCAGTGCATGATGTGTAGTTTTTAGCAATTATTGCACTGTTATCAGAACCGGAATGACCGGCCGGTTCGTTACCGAACCTGCGATTTGGTGCAGTTATCTATGGTGGACTTTTTCACAGTTGAATCGGACCAATCGGTCATAACCTGCCAGAAACTGACAGGGTTGCTGTAAAACCGGCTGCACCATTTGATAAAATTGGGCATCTCATAAAACATACTCCAACAATGCTTGTAGGGTCTTTTGAACCTGGGTCATTTTTGTAATAACCAAAGTTCCTTTCCACCAAGCCAGCACTAGTTTGATGTCTGCAGTATCCTCTAAAACATATATAACTGATTACTAAAATGTTTATTTAGGTAAGTATTTCAATTTTTATAGCCAGATAAAATGGAAAGAATTTGTTAATTAATTAAAAGCACTTTCAGTTTGCACCTAAGAATAAATTCATGACTGCTATAATCAACATAAAACAGTTCAATACTTGTAGTATGCTGCAAAAGGCAAAAAAACTTTCGTAGATACATGTTTCAAAGGGCTGATATAATATCTTTTATATCAGTTTTTAAAATTTTGTTAGAGAATACTCTTTGTTAATAACTTGAATTTCATTTTGTCGTTCATCTATTTAATATGAAAATCATTAATATAATTTGAATGGAAACATGACATGATTTCATAGAATTCTGATGGTCTTGATAAATTGATTTTCATATTTCTGTATACATTAGAGGAAGAGGAGTGCTGCCATATATTTTGTATGTTGAATATGACAAATAATACACACGGGGGAAAATGGAAATTAGAAAGAGTGGAGCAGGAAATATGAAATTATGATATATATCGGAATGTATATTACCAATCTGTGTCATGAAACTGCATGAAAAAAGGCAAAATAAAATGAAATTGAAGTGATATTTGGATTTATCTATAACCTACTAATGAAAAATGGTAGAAGAAAAATTAACAAATATTTTATTGATTTGATTTGGAGAAAAACAAAAGAGAGAATACACAGTACATTTTTCTTCTTACTATAACAGTGCAGCTACATTAGTATTGTTTTGTCATTCCTTAATTTTTAAAGTCGTAGTTATAGTTATGCATAATCTTTATAGTAGGAATACAATGATGTACAAAACGTTCATGCCCTTCTTTATCTCTAAAGATAATGTGTCCTAACCATTCAACTGCTATTCCATCTCCATTATCCATTTAGCCCAGTGTCCTGACCTGATTGATGGGCCAGTTGGGTATGATAACTTTTAAGTTTTAACCATTGTAATGTGGCTTAAACAACTTCTATAATAGGGTTAGATATGTGTCTGTAAAAGTTCTATTTGTATTTTTCATGGTTGGATATTTTTCAAAATCAACATACAAATATGCATGCTTATGTCTCTGAAAATAGTTGTGTTTTCATCACAGTTTGGTTCTGTCTCTGAAAATGGACGTGTTTTCATCACAGTTTGGTTCTGCATAATAGTATATTAATTTATTTGTGTAAAATCTATTAGTGACAGAACTTACAAATTAATTATTAAAAAAAAATTATAAATCCTGCAAGTATTATATGTTATCTAGTTTCTTTCTAATACCCCAACTTCAAGCACTTTACTACACATTTGAACCCATGATACGTTTTGATGTCCCAACTGGGTTCAGCGACTATCATCTAAGGATTTCGGTCATGGGTGAAACGTTGATGAAACCTAGAGTCAACCACGCAGCACAGGTTGAATATGATTCACAACCCCACCAACCAATCACCAATCCATGTAGACACGTACCGATACATGGATCCAATGTTTAATTATCTATTGTGGCTAATCCATCAGCTGGATTTTATCCATTTAAAATTTCCGTTGCTGTTTTCATGCACCATATGCATGTATACATGTCATATTGTTTCTGGTATTTTTAACTTTGTCCAATGTTGAAATCTCTCTTTTTATTCCCCTTTTGTCTATTGGTATGTGGAATATTTTGTTTTATATTACATAGTAGAAAGCATGATATGGCCAGGTAAATATGTAAGTTTTATATTCCTTTGAGACATCCCCAACAGCTAGTTTACTTTCTCCTAGAGGGAGGATGGAAGTAATGTTGTTGACCAAGCAACTACATGCTTTTGCCTACCCTTTTTTTTTTTCCCCTGTTTGAATCATCAACTCTTGATGTCAATCTACTCAAGACTTATTGGGTCTGTATACAGAACTGATGAAACATCTACTTGATTATGGTGCTTAAAAATCAAGAAAATAAGTATCTATCTGCTAGTCCGTTGAAAGACTATTGAACGTAACACTTGATTTTACCATGTCTACACCCATCGAAAGTATAGGATTCTTGTAATTCAATCCAAATTTGATCTGCGAGCGCCAACTCTATAATAGGCTGGAAAATATAGGCATGTTAAGGATTCAAGTTTGAGATTCTAACACCTTCAATGCAATAACTTTATTAAGAAAAATGTTCCTTCTTTGTTAACCTCCTGTCTATCTGTTTTCCATATAGTGTGCCAACAATGTTACACAGGAGGGCATATAGCTTTTGAGTGCCCTTTTGTAATTTGTTTGAGTACATGGTTATACACTCTCGTGGCTGTGGACAACCTTTGCTACTTATTTTTTTTTTTCAAGAAAATTGTCCACTTCTATGATTTTCTTATTAACCTCAGGCTATTGCCTGCTAATTAGCTTCGCGTTGCTTCAGTCCAAGCCTGTTTTAACAATATTCTTGATTTTTATATTTGTTTTAGATAATGAAAATTATAAGCCATTAACTTTACGTTTCTTACCAATTGTCTCTGGTAAGTATCTCAAAAATGGCAACAACCTTACTTGGCATCATAAAGGACGACATATAATTGCTGAAAATATTTTGATAAAACTGACCGGATGACAAATAATTTCCCCCCTCTCTAGCTACCGCCCGTCCAACCTTAAGCATTTTACCATATACATTGTAAAGTTGAATTTCTATGGGAAATATTAGACCCTTAAGCTGCAATTTAACATATCTTCTCAAGAGATGCTAGTCTAATAAAAATTGTGTCATTTGACGATGTCATCAACATATCTTATATTTATGTGTACTGTTTTACTATTTTGTCTTCAGGCTTACGTCCAACAGTTAGAAAGCAGCAGAATGAAGTTGACACAACTGGAGCAGGAACTCCAACGAGCTAGACAACAGGTTCTTTTCTGTCTAGTAGTATGATTTCCTCCTGAATATCCTATTTCTAGTAAGTCTTTGTTGTTTCTCAATTTAGTGAATTTTTTTCTTTGCTGAAGGGCATATTTATTTCAAGTTCAGGAGAACAAGCTCAGTCTATGGGAGGAAATGGTACAGTTTGACTATATGATTATGAATTTCATATTAAATTATTCTGTTGCCCAAAGCAGGTATAAAATTAATTATTTTCCTTTGTAAAAAAAATTATTTTCCGAGAGAAAGGGAAGAAAGCTGGAAGAATGTTGTAAAGGGGAAAATCGTGGGATAATAGCCCAAATGATCACTGAACTTTAAAAAAAATCAACAAGGGGTTACTGAACTTTAAAAATCACCCCATTCATCACTAAACTTTGCATTTTGTAATCTCATTAGTCACTAAGCTCAAATTCCGTCCAAAAATTGACTGATTATTGACATGGCTGCATTAGTGACTTGATGTGAGTACCAAATCAGCTACACGTGGATTTTATTAATTAAAACACATTTTAAAAAAATAATGAATCAAACCGTCTTTCTCGCATTCAGGGAAGAAAATCCCCAATCTTCCCCACCCCAACCACCACCAAATCTGGATCTGAAACGGAGATCATTGAAGTTTGGTGGTACAGGTGTAGTACTCGCCAACTTAGATCAACTCATCCATTGCTTGATTTGGTTGGAACAGTGAATAAATATGAAGGTCCTTGGAAATGCTGGGAGTGCTCAATGCTAATGATTCCTTCTACACTGGAGATGTTAGTGTCCCACTTGACATAGCATTTACTGGTTCTTGGGAATGGAAGATTGCGTGTGTTCTAAAAATTTTCAGTGTCAATGAAGACAGCCCCAAATTTGATGGTTAGTCAAATTCAAAAATAAAAATATATAGCAGCTGAGATTATTGGTTGATGTCAAAGCTCCGTTCCGGTCACGACTGAGATGATTGGTTTTTGGTTAAGGTTTGATTAGGGGAAGGTTATGTTGTAGCTGCAGTTTTACTTCTACGACAGGGATGTGGGGAAGACGACGGCGGCTAATGGTGGTGGCTATGGAAGACGGTGGTGGAGGTGGGTTGATTTAGTGGTGGTTGGGGGAGGAGGGAGATTGGGGATTTTCTTCCAAGAGACGGGTTGATTCTTTTTTCTTTTTACACATGTTTTAATTAATAAAATCCACGAATGTAGCTGATTTGGCACTCAGCAATTGACACATCAAGCCACGTATGCAGTTACGTCAGCATTCCATCAATTTTTGGATGGAATTTGAGTTTACTGACGAGGTTACAAAATGTGAAGTTTAATGATGAATGAAGTGATTTTTAAAGTTCAATGACCTCTTGTAGACCTTTTGCAAAATTCAGTGACCATTTGGACTATTATCTCGGAAAATCATTGTACGAGGTAGTACTGATGGACTGAGAGCATGAAGAGGTTCAAGAAATGGTTAGAGGTACCTTCGGGACTGGTGGTTGAATAGCTATTGAAGTTAAGCACTGAGTTTAGAAGGGAGTAGAAAGTTTCAGAGACAGAACATCCTTCTCTGAAACTTTCCATGGATGAAGAGGTTGATAGTGATATATAACGAACTTCAGAATTGAAGGGGAAGAGTTGAACTCTTAACAATTTAGATCAAAGTTGTGAGGAGCGGTTATTCTTGGAGGTGATTTAAGTTCTTCTTTTGTTCTTTCGGCATGATCTTAGTGAATATTAAACTATATATGCTATGATGATGAGCTGTGTGGGTCAGCTTTTGTGAAGCTTCGAGTATAACCTTCAATTTTCTTTGCCCAACATTTATGAATCTTTATCTGAAAGAACGGTTGGAAAAAACGAATATATTGAAATTTATAAAACATTAGCACTTGCACTATTGAAAGTCAAAACTATAAGCAGGACATATTGCTAAAGTCCCATGCTATGAATTCATCACTGTAATTAATATATGTATTCCTGAGAACTGGAAGAGAGAAAATGAGTTGAGTGAAATAAAGCAAAGTTGTCACAGTTTTCAGGAGAATAACAAGTAAAATATTAAAATGAACGTGTCAGTGACTCGTGAATTCAAGGTATAAAGCATAAATTTATTTAGTTGATGGAGCAGGATTACAAATTTAGGTTGTGTGCTAGTAGTTAAACTTGAACTAGGGCTATCCTTTGCCCGGAGAGCTAAGTTACGAGCATCTTCTTAAGGAGTCACATAAATACAGAAAATATTTTAAGCTTTTGCTGAATGAGGTTTCTGTGCTTTAAGGAACCAATCATGAGTTCAGTTTCCTGCCCCTCCCATTAGGGCGATGAACTTTGCATAAAGGTGAACATAAAAATTGATAGGGAATGGGAATTAAGTTAAAGTCCAGAGAACAGTCTTCATACTTCCCATATGCTCCATTTTTAATACTTCTGATGGTTTACATTAGTTGCTTGAATTTTGGCTTCTCCATCTAAATATTCTGAGAGGTACTTGTAATAATTTGTCTACTTGGGTCCCTTCCCGTAAGTTAAATGCTTTTGTAACCCAACTCGGTAACATAAGTTCATTGTTTTACAAACCTTAATTATTTCAGTGACTTTGAGTTCCATGGAAATATGAACTGTAAACCCTATACTTCTAGGCGCTTTGGCCTTTGATGTTGAATATGCACGGTGGCTGGAGGAACATAACCGCAGGGTTAATGAGCTAAGAGGTGCAGTCAATTCACATGCGGGTGATGGTGAACTTCGCATTATTGTGGACGGCATCTTGGCACACTATGATGACATTTTCAGGATAAAAGGTGATGCTGCAAAGGCTGACGTCTTCCATATTTTATCAGGCATGTGGAAAACACCTGCAGAAAGGTGCTTCCTCTGGCTTGGTGGTTTTCGTTCATCTGAACTTCTTAAGGTGAGGGTTACATTGTTTGTATCAGTTTTTTGTCCATGAGCAACCTCCTTTTTTAGGATGACTGTGTATTCTCATTCCCCCCTTTGATAGGGCAGACAACTTGTGCTAATAGATCCCAAAAGTCTGTACCCATCTCTCTGTAGCACCCTCATTTTACAGTAAACCACGTGTTCAGGAAATTTTATAATGATTGCATATTGTGAGCATAGAACAAACAATTGTACAAGTACCTGTTCTATCATGTGGCGTGTGAGTTTAATGATTCTTATTTCCAATTTTTATTTATTTTTCCCTCTCCAGCAAAAAATAACATGCATGAAAGGGAGATATTTTACAGCATATCCCAAGACTCTGGTAGAGATGGGAATGAATGTGCATAAGAGTGTTAATGTAGAGAGTGCACAGACTTCCCAGACCAGTATTTCAATATTACTGCCCAACTGAAACCCAAACTGAAAAACGTATCTGTATGGGAAAACCAAACTCCCACACTGGGTCTAGGCTGAGGTATAAAAAAAGCAGCCTAGGATTGATGGTATTTCTACTAAAAAAATTTGTCTCCTCCCTTAGACCCTACGGATCTCCCCTGATAAGAGTGGACTTATTGGAAAATGTAGCTTTATTGTCACTTTTAGCTCATGTAGATCAAAACTGGAGCACAACTTATGGCAAGAAATGATTATAGGGAACATAATAATGTGGGGGGATTCATTTATTTTTCTGTCTTTGGTACTGCTAGATGTCTATGATGGTTTTGCATTTCTAAGAGAAATTATTAGTAAAATTATGTAAATCCTGTTGACCTTACTAAGATCTTTTCATGATGCTTTTTTTGGATAGAATTAGTCAAGTAGATATGCCTGATGCTTCTATATGCTCTACTTGCATGCTATTTTGGTTCTAAGGTGTTCATAATCCTTCGTTGAATATCAGGATTTCATGTATTTGCGGAGCATTGCGTTTTGAGCTCAGCACTCTATCTAGTTTAAACAATACGGTCAAGGGGGTTAGCTATTGGTTTCTCTATGTTGTTTTTGTGACTATACACTACGTTGAATTAATTCTCCCGTCCTTATTGTGTGTGCAACTGTGCTCATGTCATTTTATTCCCTGAAAATGATGATGAAGATTTTCCTAGAGAGTTAATTTTCTTGGTTCATAACTTTTTGCTTGTTCGTTTTGTTTTCTCGTTGTCACAATACTTAAAATGCCCACCTTTTCTATTTGTTATATTAGTTTTTAAAACTTCATTGCCTGTTTGCAGCTTCTTATAAATCAGTTAGAGCCATTGACTGAGCAGCAGTTAATGTCAATAAACAACTTGCAACAGTCATCTCAACAGGCTGAAGACGCCTTGTCACAGGGAATGGAAGCATTGCAGCAGTCTTTGGCTGAAACACTGGCTGCTTCTCTTGGTCCGTCTACCTCATCAGCAAATGTTGGCAACTACATGGGTCAAATGGCAATGGCTATGGGGAAGTTGGGAACTCTTGAAGGCTTCATTCGTCAGGTTATCTTTTTGCTCTTCGTACCTTTTGTTTTCTGTCATCAATCCTATCTGTTTCTAGCTTCATATCTGTTTCTACCATTTAGCGCTTATCGAATAAATTGATGTTTCCACGACCCTTGTAACTAGCAATGCAATATGATATAACAATGTGGTACTCTTCATCAGTTGAGCACTGTTGTGGTATATATCATATGTGAAATAAATGATGATGAAGCCTTGCTTGCATTGCAGGCTGACAATTTGCGGCAACAGACTTTGCAACGAATGCATAGTATATTGACAACCCGGCAATCAGCTCGCGCTCTACTTGCTATCAATGACTACTTCTCTCGGCTTCGAGCACTTAGCTCTCTTTGGCTTGCCCGTCCCCGTGAGTAACTTCTCAATCTTGCCCTGTTCTAGTTGATGTATTCTACAAATGCAACTTGGTTTGTTTGTTTACAATGTAAACTTTGGAGGCAGCCAGGAGTCATCAGACGGTTTCAGTGCAGTGTTATTTCCCATCATCATCATTACTGCAGCTTCATCTCATGTTGTATAATTTTTCATTTTCAGTTAGTTGAAATAATTGATTTCCAACCAATGTTAATGTATTTAGAAAAAGAGAAAGATGGTCAGATCGACATGTAAAAATTAATCCCCATAGCTCAGGTGAGGTTGTAGTTTAGAACATTGTGTTTGCCTTCAAGTTAACATCTTGTGAGCACTCTGTATTTTGATCGAAAACTCTGCTGTTCTGAAGCAGTGAGAAAGATTTTTCAAAATTCGATCAAAGTGGTCGACCATTAATTTAGACAACCTTGGTTTATTTATTTATTTATTTTTCCTTTTAACAAATTTTAGCGAGCGCTAGGTCGTATGACGTCTATATTGTCACACCATACTTCTTATTAACTAAATTACCTTTTAATTGAAATGAACATTTTCAACTTTAGCTTCTTTTTGTTCTCAGATTTCTCCTTGTTTCTAGCCATGTTAGCATAATATGTGGACAAAAATCGTCATTAGAGGCAGATGAGCTAATATAATTGAAGGTTAAATATAAAAATGTGAAGAAAAATGTTACGAACGCAAGTGAATTTTTCTTCATTGCAATTAAAATGTGATGTTGATAATAAAATTTGTAGTGCGAATATAATCAATATTTATTATTCAATCATGATTTAGGCGGTAGTTTCATTCTTTTCATTCTTACAAGGGTGATGCTACATGTACCCACAAACTTTCACACAATCTTTTACACCCCCCTCACATGGAGGGGGGCCCACGATTATTTTATGGATAAATCTAAATGTACATAATGTTGTACCTAATGTTTTACAAACTGGACACTT